TTTTCATTAAGGAAAAACATTCAAATCCATTAACAAATTAGTTGATATCTGTAGTTTAAACTCTTTAGGTGAGATGAGATTTTGATTAAAAGCAATCAAAAAAGATGTATTTAAAGTAGTTTTAATTTGAAAGTATCTTAGACTCGCTAGACTAAGACATCCCAGTCACGCTTTTGCTCTATCAAACTTTAAATTTATGCCTATGCACCGAAATAAAAACGGCGATAACCATCTGAAAATTGAATACCTTTGTCTACAATTTTCGAGTGACTAGCTGGTTTTTTTTTTGAGGTACTCTATGATAATGCCACATCACGAGTGTGTATTGAAAAGCAACACCTAGCCTAGCCACATTTACAATTAATATCTCGTGCTATGTGGCAACAGCAAAAGCCTTTTAATTGATAGATCAATATCGCGATGATTGCTTTTGTGCGTAGCATATGGCGGCAGGCCTATCGCAATAATTTCGGGGTAAATGGCACACGAGAGCGAAGCCCAACGGGAAAGCCCGTGAGCCGTGTGAGCTTATCTGAAGTGATAAAGCGATGGTGGGAGGAGTATAGAGAGGTAGACACATGTGTGTTCAGGGCCACTCTAATGGGGGCTGCTGCTCATATGCCCCAATTCGAAAGACTCCCTTTCCATGGTCACCTCCCTTGGGTAGTTTTGTGGGCCATATGTTTCGAATCGAAAAATAATAATAAATATAACATTAGGACAGGTTCTTAGCTGGTCATTATATCGAATTCCCCTGGCGATGGTCTCTGGCTTTTCTCCTTTTTGCCTAATTGATATTTGACCAGCTCTGAAGATTTCAAACTAAAATGGTTTTTTTTTCTTTTGGCTTATCTTCGGCAAGGTCAAAAAGCCCCGAAGCTCAAAAATAAACCCACCCACCTTTTATCCACTTCGTGCCAATACGGAAATGATGAGTTCGAATTTCAATTTTATTTATCACCAATTTTTTATGCACCCATCCTACGTTTCCATTTCGATTTTTTTCGGCCTTTTAGTTTTAGGTTTTAGCTCGACGCGTAGCGACGCGCAGCCCGAAATGCGAAATGCGAAATAAAATCCAAACGTGCAACTATATTTGTGGCCTATTCTGCGACATGGAAGCGAGGTGTTTATATCTACAAAAAGAAAAACAGCAAGAAATACGGAGGGGGGGCCCCATAAAACCCAGTTTTTTATTGAGTTTGTATGTGTGTGACGTTTCCAAGGAACTTCTTGTGAAATTGCAAGAACCCCGAAAAGAAGTCGTCTTATCGCGCCACATAACACGTCACTTTGATTGGCCCACTGTGTAAATTAAGAGTGTGTGGTTGTGTGTGGGTTAATGGTTTGTTTGCCAGTAGTTCCCATTCGATCGGAGGAGTAATAAAGTCGTCGCACGAATCGGTAATCGACTAAGAGCTTTTCCAAGTGAACGTGTTTCTCAGTGCGGCTGCCTGCCTGCCCCATCATAAAATATGTGTCACGGGGACGGTTAGGAAGCCCGGGAAAATGTGTTAGAATAGGAAAGGGGAAGTGTAAAAATGAAATTAAATTTAGCTTAAAGTTTAAGGCAACTTTAATTTTGATTTTTTAATTGATTTCTTGTGGAAATATCAAAACTCCTAATTTTCCAAGTTTTTACCATTTTCTTTAAAATTTTTAAGCTTTTTTGGTATGAAATCAAAATTTCTAAAAAATTCAAGGGAATTCAAGGGTTAAAATTACCCTGAACCGAGTTGCTCTACGTCCTCGATTACAGGGTTTGGCACACCTTGAGTTCCGGCAATCTTAGTGTGCCATCGCGCAGGCAGCATCCGGCAGGTCATTTAAATTGAGACTCGAGCACAATCCATTCAAGACGACCTTTTGACGCCTCCCTGACCTGGCACGCAAATTTCATGCGACACAAAAAAAGGAAAATCAACCGAAGGTGCCACAAGAATCGATAGGTAATGGTGAGGTCCTTGGCACTTTTAGGCACTTGACGAAGTAACTAGTTAGTTAGAGTACCACTGGAGTGAGACACCATCAGACTTTAAGCCACTCCAGCTGGCATTTGAATGCGGGCGAATTTTCATTATCTGAACTGGGAAGTTAGCTAGCTAACTGGGGGTTACCTGTGGGCGCCACGCCTCGCCGCCTGCCAGCAAATAATGGAAAACAAATGCGCACCATTGTCTGATATCTAAATGTACACACCGATGACTATATAGTCGGCTGGTTACCCACCTATGTACATGCCTATATGTTTAGGCATTTTGAGTTTTATCAGCACGCTTCACTGCTATGATGGTGGGGCCTGTAGAGCGGGCAGTGGGTGGGGTTGGTTAATTATAATCACAAGCAAATTTATTTGTTTAAATGCCTAAAGAGCCGCTTTTGCTTTTGCTTTTGCTGTGCCACTGACTATCCGCTCTACTGATAAATTTTTGTTCTTTTTTTTAAACTCTGTTATGCCTATGGTTAGGGACTACGCACTGTTTACTACTCCAACTCTTTGCATAAATAAAAACAATTATGAAAAATCTTGTTGATTTTTAGTTTTGATAAGAATTATGCTTTTCATTCTTTTGTTTGGCGAGGCATTTGGAAACTGGCAGAAGGCACGTGATCTCATCAGATAAGAAACAAACAAAAAAGTATCTTCTCTATTCAAAGTTCTTGTTTAACACTACGAAACACAGAACCAGAAACAAAATCAGCACTTAACCCACTTACTAACTTAACTGAAGTAAAGTTAGAAACTGGTTTATGATAGAATTGTTAACCATCTTCTTGCTTTTAATGCTTTTATTTAGAATTGAAAACTCAACAAAACTTTTAACAAACGGAAATAAATATATGATAAGGAGATAATATTATAAAGATATAGTGCAAATCGTAGTCCTTGGATGTTGGTAACATAGGATGGTGGTAGGGTAAAGGGCTGAATCAACAAGGGATCGGTCTATAACCGATGCTTAGTAGGGTGATTGCCTTACAACAACCACTCCTTTTGGCCACACACGCACTGGCGGATTCTGCGCTCCAAAGTGCGAACCGAATTGATGAGCTCCTGGCACAGGGACTCCCGTTCAGGGCATCCCTGGCACTTGACACCACCGGGACCGCAGTTGCAACCGCTGGGCTTGCTTGGGCGAGTAGGACGAGTAGGACGAGTGGTGGTCCTTCGAGTGGTCCTTCGAGTGGTCCTACGAGTTGTCCTACGAGTGGTCCTGCGAGTGGTACTCCTCGTGGTTGGTGGAGCACAAGTTGTTGTTGTTGTTGTGGGAGTTGTGGTCCTTCGAGTGGTTGTTGTAGTTGTTGGTGGGGCACAAGTAGTGGTTGTAGTTGTCGTTGTTGTTGGTGCACATGTCGTTGTCCTTCGTGTGGTTGTCGTAGTTGTTGTTGGGGCACACGTTGTAGTCCTTCGAGTGGTTGTTGTTGTTGTTGTCCTGCGTGTGGTTGTTGTGGGAGCACATGTGGTTGTTGTCGGTTCACATGTGGTTGTTGTCGGTTCACATGTGGTTGTCTCCGGCTCTGGATCTGGGCAACCACACTCATTTGCTATGGTGCAGCCCACCAAGCTGATAAGCAGGATGCCAGCTATAAGGATAGATTTTTGATTAAAGGAATAATTCATATTCTGTTTAATATATTTTTAGATGTTATCCCTTAAAGAAAGAGGGATATCTTCAACCCACCAATAACTGTAGCCTTCATAATTAAAGTTTCTTAATTGAATGAAATAAATTTCCTTGGAGGTGAAACCACAAACTGATACCTTTCTTACTGGAATCCTCTCCTTTTATAAGACCTGACTTGTTGATGGTTTCAAGCGAAGTTTACACAGTAGATTTTTAAAAATGGATTTAACGCCATATTCATTGGATAAGTAAATAAACTTGAACTCCTGGCGATTTCGAACTCTGCAAATAATATTGAAACGTGCCAGTTTTTTCCCACTAAATTGTGGCATTCCAACTGCCGCGCGTGCTTTAATATTTGCTTATGATAAAGGTTTTTGCCGTTTTTTTTAAAGGATATTTTGGGTTGCTTCTGCAAAGCTGTTTTTGTTTTTAAGAAAATTCAATGGCAATCGAGCATATTCCTCATAAAGTGTGTTCTCAAGAACATAAACTTTTCTTTATCAAACCTGATTAATATTACAAATAATCAGGTTTTTAGGGTCTTCTCAGAGCTTATTATATTATTATGTCTTAATTATATCAAACATTTTGTAATTCTCACATTTTATCTTCACATTGCTGATTATGAAGGTCAACAGTTTTGCTAGTTTAAGCTATGTTAATCTTTTGAGACCACCAAAAACCCTTTCCCTAAAAACGAACTTGAGTTGCTTTGCGTTTTCCGACTTGCTTCTCTCCGAGAGCTTTGATTTCCATTGAATACCAAGAAGTTCTTTAATTTTTTTTTTATATATTTTTTCTAACGATAACATTTGAAACTAGTCACTTGGGCGCTGCGGGAGCTTTTGGTTAGTGTCCGTGTTGTGTTTCGGTTTGGGCTTTTAAGCTAATTGTTTGCTGATTTGCTGATCGCAGGAGGCAAGATGACCAAAGCTATGTAAACAATACCAAAAAATGAAAGAAACTCTAAGCTCAAAGGTGCCAACAACAACAAGAATAGGAGTAACATTTGTATCTGTATCGGATCCAAAAAGAAAACTTAAAGGTTCGCCATCAACGTCGACCTCAACAATATCAACAACAACAACCACCGCATCGCCCCCACCGCCCCAAACTTCTTATGTGATTAAATGCCTGTTAAGAACGGCCCGTTTTATGTGGCAAGTGACGACAATACCGTCTAAGATCGGTGATACCATAGGTACCCTGTACCGTTATGCTCAGGACTCTGTCGATAGTTTTCTATGCGTAGCTGGGTGAGACTTCTTTAGATCTAAACCACCATATATTATTTAAAGTTTATCTAAAAAAAATAATAATAAATTATATAACAAATATTTAAATTTTTTATATTTTCTTATATATTTACAGCAAGGCCCGTCGCAAGGAACGCGATGGCGATCAAAATTCAACAGACACCAAATTGTATTTGGAGGAAAGTGTCCTAGAACGTAAATTACCTGAAGCTGATCTCAAAGCCTTAGTGGATCTTCCAGCTGGTTTGGACTACAATGAATGGCTAGCGTCACACAGTAAGTTTAAAAAGTAGAAGATACTTCTTATATAATTTGGTTGATTAAGTTCTTACTGATTAACATTTTAACCCACACCTTGCTGTTTGAACTTCCCCTGCTATTTCCCTGAGTTTTCTTTTCAAATTGCCATTATTTACCCACATCTGTCATTTGCCCCTATTGTGTGTGTTGGCTGGCTTTATCGTGTGATTTACAAATGAGTTTAACGAGCTACTGAGCGATGTCAGCTGCCTTTTGGCAAAAGTTTGATAGTCTAATCGCCTCGCCACTGGCTACTGAGTGGCTCTGGTTGAGTGCCCCCGATTTATGGAGCAATCCCCACGGTGCACTATACCCGTACATCATTATCGTTGAGCCAATGAACTTGAACGGAAGATTTCAGTCTGGTTGATAGCATTTTTGGACTGCAGTTTTGAAAAATACCCAAAAAATGATTAACAGCAGGTGATTTCTTTGTCTCAGAAGTCTTTTTAACAGTTAGATTGCATTAGAGAGCAGTAGATATACAGTTATTTTTAAACTCAGGTGTGTTTGATGGCATTAATTTGGACTTATAAATAATGGTTTACTTTCCTATAAACGTAAATCAAAACAGTTTAAAACCTGAACAGCATCTTAAACCCCTTTCGTGGTTAGTGAGTAAGCCTTTGCCTGCTTTAATTAAATTTTAATAGACGCTTTAATACCATCATCCTAAGCCAATATACACTGTGAGTCACATTTTAATTAGCTGGTAGCTCGCCTGGAGGAGTCTTTTTTTGGGTTACATCATTGGCGGGGGGGAGGAAAGAATCGATTTTGAGAAATAACATCATCTTGTAAATAATCTGTGTGCTGCTGGGTGGCAGAATGAAAATTACACAGTTCTTTGTTGACTCAAATGAGGCAAATAATTGGCAATGTATCAGCAAATTGTAGCCACCAAAGGCACCCGAGGGCATAGCAAACAATATCTTGTCCATGCCATGCTCCTCCTTCATCCTCTTCATTATTTTCTTCCCTTTGGTTTTCTGTTTTTTTTTTTTTGGAAAAACAATCAAAGCCAAACTGCTTTGTCGTGGGCGACGATGATGATCAGGGTCATTTCACGTCACCCGATGGCGTCAGCTGCAAGTTCATATGCAAATGTAATATTTGTAATTTGCTGACTTCAGAGAGGCACATCGCCCTCCGCCCCCCAAATCTTGACTTCACCTACATCTTGGGATGTGTTTTTGGGGTAAGGAAAAGCGAGTTAAGCCATCGGATTATTTTTTGCCCCAATTCTGCTGGCATTTCATAATGCAGCGTTCGGCCGTGTGACGTAATGAGGACACTTATGCAAATATTGAATCGGCATTGACCTTAGCAAGTGGTTCCGCTCAATAAATATCATCGTTTGCTAACTGCTGGTTCTTATCTCCGAAAACACCAGACACTGAAAGAAAACCAATACAACTGTCTTTTCGATGATAAGATTGCTTCTGATTTGTTAGTTATCAATGTTGACCGAAGAGTTGGCAAATTAGTTAGCAGGTTGTTGATCTATAAATGGAGTTTATTTGTTTAGGGTATTGTTGGTGACTTTACTAATCTTGTTTTTAAACAACTTTGTAATCGAAACTGTTCCTAATTATTCATAAATATTGGTTGGTGATTTTGAAAAGCAAATTTATTATTATCAGATAGTTAGTAATCTTTTAAGTCAATTCTAATTTATTGATTTCCCTTGTTACAGCCCTCGCTCTATTTGAGCACGTGAATTTGGTTTATGGAACTATTAGTGAATTTTGTACACAATCCGGATGCGCCGACATGACCGGACCCGGCAACAGGTGAGTCTCAGATAATCATTCAATTTAAAAAACCCAACTAATTGTTATTTTCTTTTGGTCAAAAACAGAACGTACTTATGGTTCGACGAGAAGGGCAAGAAGACGCGCGTCGCAGCTCCACAGTACATCGACTATGTGATGACGTTCACCCAAAAGACGGTCAGCGATGAGTCGATATTCCCAACCAAATACGCCAACGAGTTCCCTGGCTCGTTTGAGTCGATTGCGCGGAAGATACTACGCTTGCAATTTCATGTGATAGCGCATCTGTATGCGGCGCATTTCCGAGAAATCGCGCTGCTCGGCTTGCACACCCATCTAAATCTGACGTTCGCGCACCTCACCGCCCTGCATCGGCGCTTCAACCTGATCGACGAGAAAGAGACGGATGTGCTGCGTGATCTTGAAGTGGCGCTGCGTCTAACCGACGATACTGGTGGCTGTCAGGATGCCACCTCAACGTCATCGTCGGTCCATGATCACTCCTCCACTGACCTGCAACACCAGTCGCTACAGCAGCAACAGCAACAGCAGCAGCAGCAGCAACACCACAACAGCAGCAGCAACAGTACCTCCTCGGCGGAGGCGTTGCACGTCAATTCACAAAGCAACAATGGCAGCACATCCGCCTCGGCATCGGTATCCCTAATCGATGGCGATTCGGTGGCGCCGCCAATTTGCACGCAACCAGAGGCGGGAGCGGGCTGCAAGCCAGCGGGCAGCAGCGGATTGCTGGGCGGTATACTGGGTGACCTGACCAGCGGCGAATTTGGTGATACAACGCGCTACTGCACCTCGGCGGTTCCTCAGTCGGCAGCGGGTGGCGGTGGGGCAGCGATCGGTGCCGCGGATGCTGCTGCCGCATTGAACAACGGCGCGGGCGCACTACATTTAAACTTTAGCAACAATAATAACAATAATCATAATCTGAATCACCATCACCACCATCATCACCACCATGGCCATCATGGCCACCATCATGCGGCGCAACAGCAATTGCAGCAGCAGCACAGTGGGCTCATACAGTGTAATGCGGCTGGCGGTGGTGGTGGCAATGCAACAGGAGTAGCCACCGGGGGAGCCACTGCAGCAGCGTCCTCAACCACAACGGCATAGTGGAGCAGTAGCTATGAAAAGAGCAGCAGCAGCAGCAGCAGCTGCCACAACAGCAACAACAAAAAACATTAGAAATACTAGATTTACGCAAAAATGTTATTTAATGTTACTTCTATGATCCTAAAGTTGAAAATATTGTAAAAATAATAAACAAAAAACAAAAAAAAAAAGAAAACATTAAAATGCAAAAACAGCTAATTGCAAACAAACAAGCAGACATTACATAAATTGACACACACACAAATGCTACAAGAAATTTATTGAAAACGCTAATCGAAGTTGGCATCGTAGTTCCGTAACGTTGATTTAGATATGTACTTATTGTATAGAAAGACAGAGAGAGAGAGAGAGGGAGCTGCAAGCATAGAGTTTAGAGTTGTCGCGTGCTTATGCTTTACACGTATTTTAACCTTCCTCTCTTCTACAACAAAAATGAAATGTCCTGACTGAAAGCCTGAGTGCAAATGCAAAGTCAATGCCTTCAAGGCACCAACAATAATAAAGAGTTCTGAACTACTCCCAAAACAAAAATTGGCAAAAACGTCAGTTTTAGAATATAAATACAGCATAAAAAGATTTTTGTTTCTTTCAAAATATTTACAGAGTTGGTGTTGTAACTTATTTTTTTTTTTTTTTTATCTCAAAATATTACATTTACCAAAGAAACCTAACTTATATTTATATATAGATGTTTCGAAATGTAGCACTTTTTTAGCGTTTAGGTAAAGTTCTAAGCCTAATCACCACAGTTCGATTATGTTTGTTATACTAAAGAAATGATTTTTATAATCATTATTTTTGCAATTCTTTAAAGGTGCAAGTGAATTTTGTGCAATGTCTTGGCACTAACCTAAGCAGAGTAACATTTTAAAATAGAGCGTATACTGGTTCAATTGTTCAGGAACATATAGACAAACAAAATATTCTACTAGGCGGTGAAACACGCAAGTTTTAAAAAATATTAAACTCACCCGTATTTTACATGCAGCAGTCAGCCTGAAAACATGCACCGAAAAGTAACCAACACGAAATGCAATCAGGCGCCTAACGGTATGCACTGAATATTTCACAACTTATGTACCACACACTTCACCTACACAACCAACACACACACACACACACATTGCACCAAATAATCTCCGAAAAGTATGCAAAGGAAATATACAATCCACACACACGTTGTTAAAGTATGGCAATTTTAAAGCAAAGTTTGTAATGCGAAAGAGGAATCATTTAATAATAAATATATAGGGAAATGCAAGATTTATGCTTCGGATTTCTAACCAAAAACCAGATGGGACTTGTATGTTGTACTGTATTTGTGTTGTCTTTATAAATCCATAGCGAAAACAAATGGCAATGAAATGAACTTACTTTAGAATCAGAATCGTTCGACTTAGAATATTAGAAGCAAATTTTTGTGTATTACAAATGGTTCACCTGTCTGTTCCAATGTAGATAATTGCAACATGATCCACTCCAGTTTCACTGAACTACTGTCCAGGACTAAGCTACAAAACACACACACACACTATATACCCTTAATGAAACACACACTCACAAACTTTCGATCTGTTGAACTTTGAATGCGATGCAATGAACTCAAACAACAAAAAAAAAAGAAAAGAAAACTATAGACACACGGCAAATGATACATGTATTTATATGTAGGTATGTGAGTTATTAATAGAATACAGGTGGAAATGAAATGCAAAGACAAACCTTTTAAGTCAGCAAAAACAAACAAATGCAAACATGGCAAAAGCATTGAGAGAAGGTAATAAAATAAACTGTTATGTTCAATTGAGATGTGAAGTCTTTTTTTTAGTGGCTGGGATATTAACGTCAAGCATACGACCTTATACTACATTACTTTTCATTTGCTTTTCACTCAGCCAACAACAGTCATTCAAACTTTTTATTTCTCTTAACCTTTCTAAAGAAAGAAATACCTTCTTAAAACAAAATTTTGAAATCAAAATCATTTTTGGTTAAAATGAGTTCTAGGTAAGTCTGCTTAAGGTGTTCAGTCACGAAAGCTGAATTCTAATATAAACCAATCGCAGGCTTTTTTGTAAATCGTCGGACAACAAATCACGTAGTTATATTGCTGAACTTAGTCGTACCAATCGGCACTCGGACTGCAGCTTTTTGATTGAGGGAGAGAATGGCAATACCAAAACCTTTCCATGCCACAAATTGATCTTTAGCAGTGCCTCTGACGTATTCGATCGTATGCTCTTTGGCGATTATTTTGAGTCCTCAAGTGGTATAGTCCGAATTAGCGACGTCGAGCCAGAAATTTTCGAGAAGTTTCGGGAATATATCTACGACTGTGATTACGAAAAACTTCAAAAGTATGACTTTGATACGCTTGTTCGTCTGTGCGAGCTTGGCAATAAATATCTGGTGGACCACATCCAGGATGACATTATAAGAGTGTTCATGGACCGCAAGTATTCCTTTGACATGGGACAGTTATTACGTCTATACCAGTTGGGCCATCAGATAACTAGAGATTCGCTAATTAAAAAAATAGGCTGGAAAATACAGTGTTGTACTTTGGACAAACTGGAACACCCGTTCATACTTAAACTTAACTTTCACATCTTTAGGAACTATTTATTTTTGATTACAGGCAAAATAAACGAAGTACAGCGTTTCAAACTTCTAGAAAAATATCTAAAACACAATAATATCGAAGTAACGGAGGTCCAGGAGCCAATGGTGAAAGTTAATAATGAATCTAGCAATAACGTGGAGAACGCAGAAGCGGATATGGACTCAGCCCGTTCCAGTACGGTCAGCGAGGAGGTCAAGGATGATATGCCTAACGATTTAAGACGACTGATTAATCAGTTTGAATTTTTTAAAAGCACGCCCGATGAGTACCATGAGGGTCCCGGGAAGTCAAATTTGCTTACCATGGCCCAGAAGTACGAGCATATGTATGAAATAGCACAATACGCCGAAGAGGCTAAAAAGGAACTGATAAAGAAATTGCACATGCAACCAGCTCAACCATCTCAACCCCAGCGCGTTTTCACCGTAGGCGAACCTTTGGCACGGGACGAACCTACAAGCTCTACAACATCTCAGCAATCTCCGCGTGTACAGCTCCTGTTCACCAGTTTGTAAATTCTGTGCCATAGCCCGAAAGGTATATCCCCAAAATGATCATTTTTAGTTATTCATTATTACCTTAATATATTTTTCAAGTGATTAAACTGAATATGTTCATACATTCATAAAATATAAACATCTGTGTCGATTTTTTTATTTAAAGGCGTCTCAATATGAAAAACAACCAAGACAAATATTTCGATCTTTTGTTGTTTTGAACAAAAAAAGAGAGCGTCCCCTTTTTGGACTTTTATTAAATTTACATTTTATAATTAGAATTTTCAATACTCAACTCACAATATTGTTTTTGTGAATATTCTCTTTTAATTTGCAAATAATAATTGTTTGCCAAACCTGTTTATGAATTTTAAACACTGATAAACCATTGAGCGCTGGGCAGTAATTTTATTTCTTATCATCATATTGGCATTCAAAAATGTGCATCACTCAAAAAAAATAATGTTTAAGCTCTTTACATATTCAAGATTTATTTTAAATTTTGTCAGTTAACCAGAAATCTCATCCTAACTTTGAAATAAAAACATTTTTCATCATTAATTTTTGTCAAAGTTTTGTAAAGTTTAACCTTTTATCACTTAGATTTTTTAGTGTAGCTTCTCTTTTATCTCACTTCCACAAAAGCAAATTAAATTTAGCCGAAAGCCGGACTTTCTCAGAGAAAAGTTCTCTCGGCTCTCAGTTCTGTTTTGATCACGGAGCGAGGCAGACGCATTTTAGTAGGCGGAAAATCAGATCGCCTGCTAATTGAGGAAATGGCAATCTCAGCATGGACGCTTCTGGTGGCACTGATCGCATGGCATTCTGGAGCGGGAGTAGACGCACAGGTCCCGGGTCCACGGACCCGATACGAACCCAATTGGGCCAGTTTGGACCAGAGACCCTTGCCCCAGTGGTATGATGAGGCCAAGGTGGGCATCTTCCTGCACTACGGCGTGTATTCCGTGCCCAGCTTTGGCTCTGAATGGTTTTGGACAAACTGGAAGAGTATGTAGAACTTATAGAAGTTTGGTATGGTGAATAAATTCTTTATTTAATAATATTATTTCCTTTTCAGATCTCCGTAATCCAGAGTATGTCCAATTTATGCAACGCAATTACAGGCCGGACTTCACTTATCAGGAATTCGCCAGCCAATTTACTGCGGAGCTATTCAATGCCACTCAGTGGGCGTTACTCTTCCGAGATAGCGGAGCCAGGTACTTATCCACATATATTATATATAGTGTTATCTCTCCGATCATTAATTTTCATCAACATCCCTAGATATGTAGTGCTGACGAGCAAGCATCACGATGGCTTCACGCTGTGGCCCTCGAAGAACAGTTTCGGATGGAATTCCGTGGATGTGGGACCCAAGCGAGATATAGTGAGTAAGTTGATTACTATATAGAGTACCTATACCTATCTATAATCTTTTACTTTCCAGAGGAACTTGCTGCCGCCGTTCGAAAGGTTTCCGATTTAAAGTTTGGGTTATATTATTCCCTATTCGAGTGGTTTAATCCATTGTGGACCGACGACAAGTTGCACCTTTTGATGCAACAGCACTTTGTGGAGCGTAAGGTTAGGCCAGAGCAAATGGAACTGGTGCAGCAGTACCTGCCGGAGATCATTTGGTCCGATGGCGATTGGGAAGCACCAGCCAAGTACTGGCGTTCTGAGGAGTTCATTGCATGGCTGTACAACGACAGTCCGGTGCGGGACACGGTGGTCACGAATGATCGTTGGGGCTTTGGCACTGCCTGTATGCATGGCGACTTCTATAATTGCGCAGATCGCTTTAATCCTGGAGTTCTGCAGCATCACAAGTGGGAAAATGCCTTTACCTTGGATCGTACTAGCTGGGGCCAGCGATTCGATGTCAGCTTGGAGAATTTTATGACCTCCAAGCAGGTTATTAAAGGTGGGTTATAGTAGATACCTCAAAAGAATATTCCTTTTACCTTAATATCTATTATCCAGAGATTGTAACCACTATCAGCTGCAATGGCAATGTTCTAATCAATGTGGGACCCACCAAGTACGGCACCATCCTTCCCATTTTCGAGGAGCGCCTGCGGGACATGGGACGCTGGCTGAAGATCAATGGCGAGGGAATTTACGGCAGTGTGCCCTGGCTATATCAGAACGATACTATAACCCAGAATGTTTGGTATACGCGACAAAGGGAGACATCTAATGGCAGCATTACTATATATGCTTTTGTGCTGGAGTATCCTTACGATACCAATGAACTTGATATCTATCCACTTGGCAAGGAAATCCATATCTTCCGTAATGTCATGTTGACTGGCATTGATTTGGGCACCGGTGGAGAGGTCATAAATCAGCAATCCACTCAGGTTGTTATGCTGGGCATGGAGGATACGAAAATTAAGGTAAATAGGAAGTGGCTTAATAGTAGTTAGTATTTTCTAAATATTTTCTTTTTCAGTGGACTGCTTACCATAACAGATTGCACATTGCTTTCCCCCCGAAAAATCACCTTGATAAACGGGGGCTGGACTATGCCTGGACTTTTAAAATAACCATAACTTAGAGCAGTCATATGTAGCCAAACATTACCAAATAATGCCATATTAACCAAACTAAGTTATTACCTTAAAAGTGATCTTCTGAAAGTCTTACCAAGAAGTACATTGACTTAAGACGCAATAAAACAAGTTAAAATGACATCATTAATTTATTCTATTAGATAACGGATCTCAGAGGATGTACTAAGGATTGGTTTCCGTATCCTGTTTCGGAAAAGGTGTCCGGTGTTTGTGAGCTGCGAGTTGGGCTCGCGAAAGGACTCCGCCATCACAGGTGACGCAGTGATAGTGCGTGTGCCTCTGGGCGTAGGAGCAACCTCGAGAATCGCATGGCTCGTTTCCGGCCACCTTGCGGAATCCTGCACTTCTCACGTAATCCTGTCGCAGGTGCAGTCTTCGGTGGGCCACCACCTTGTTGGAATCCGTGCACACGTAGTCGCATTTCCGGCAGTGAAAGTGCGATGTCTTTCTGGAAGCTGCCATACTAGACTCTGTTGGATCTGCAGTAGAATCAGAGGAGCATTACTACTATTAGCTATGTGAATATTATCCCTTGGGATAACTTACCTATCCTATTTGGGGGAGTGGATTCAGTAGCTCCTCCTGCCGAAGCGGCATAAGCACAACTTGCCACCCCGCATTGCATGTTGGCCCGGAACTGTCGGAAATCGTCACCCATTAGCGTGTCCATCCGTTCATGCCGCGCCGTATGTTGCACAAATCGCGTCTTGTCGCAGAAACTGTAGTGGCAATCCCGTCGATTGCAATGGAAATGCGACTGGTGATTCCGGTAGCCACACCTCTCGAAGCCGCAGTCCTCGTTGAAACGGAACTTCAGGTAGCCACTTGGTATATCATGATCTCGGATCCTTTTCACAGTACTTCTCTGACTGGAATCTATTGTTGGTGTAGCCACTGCATTCGCCGTGGCACTTGCAGCTGCATTTAAGAGCAGCAACTTCTGATGAGCCGCATTCTCTAGCAACAGACGCATATCAAGTAGGGGTCCAGATACCGCTCCTGCTGCTGATCCTGGTAAAGCCATGGGTTGACTGGCGGCTGCCAGAAAGCTAGGTAGAAGCACCTGTCGCTGGTACAAGTCGATTAGCTGCTTGAACTGCAATAGATTCATATTCAGAGCTGGTCCCACTGCCGCTGCTGCGGCAGGTTGCTCTGAGAGAGATGTTCGCATGCTCAGATCTTCGGGTTGGTCCACCTCCAAGTCAGCTGTTTCCTGGCGACTGCTGTACGTTGAGCCACCAGGCTCTGTTACTTCTTGATGTGCAGATGAGTTGGCGTTCTCTGGGTAAAAAGTTCCCGCCGCTCGAACAACTTTATTTGGGGGAGGAAATCAATGAAAGTAACTTTGATATTAGTAGGAAAGGTAATCAAAATTGCTTTAAATTTAAGTAGTTTTAGTCATAACTTGGTAGCTAACTTATTACTATAACTATAACTTACTTACTATAACTAACTTACCTGAAACCTTATCTAGAGGTCTGCTCGTTAGATTCTTGGATGTGATTGCATCTAAAGGTTCTGAAGGCTGTTCGGTGGGCTGAAATTAATAGCATTATAAGAATATTATAAGAAGACTTATATTTTATAAATATTACCTTTGCTATAAACTCGATTTGGCTACTCCGAGACAGTGTCTCACTTCTCTCCGTCAAGTGGGCGACTTGATTAAAGCTTCTCCCGCTCGACTGATCCAAAGGTGACAATGTTAATGACGATGATGGAGCCCAAACACGACCCCTTTTCCGGTTCCGACTAGGTGTGAGATCAGTGGCTGAGCCATCGCAATCTGCTACTGACAAACGATCCTCCACAATATCCACCGTTGACCCACTGGTAGCAGGTGCCCCGCCATGACCAGAGTGATCACTTCTCTCCAGTTTAAAGCTGGTGAAGATGGCCTGCGGCGATTGCTGGGCCTGTATTTAAGTCAAAATAATAATTAAAAAATAAGAAAAACACGTATTTTTCTGTATTTGTTGACAATCGAAATCTATCTCCAATATTCCACGCAGCAATGTGGGCGCCTTTCATGGAATTAAATTACTTTGGCATGGCAGGGCCGTACTTGCTGGCCCGTTGTCATTGTCATAGTTTTCGGATTTGAATTTTTGGATTTATGACAAACAATCGGCCGCAACCAGTTTATTACTCGTATTTCCGAAATTACTGTTAATGTTTGTCGTTGTCGTTGGCCCAAAATGTCACTATTTAAATTTTGTTCACGCATCAAATCGATAATAAAACGAAAAAATAATACAGAGAAAGAACGAGTGAAGTGAAAAAGCCAAAAGCAAAAACAAAGGAGAAACCATTCAAAAATTTGGAAATACAAATGCAACCATTGTATACCCTAAAGGCTTACCAAAATTGGGTTTACGAAAATGGTAAGCAAATATTTTAGACAGAAATGGAAAATAAATAAATGACAAGGTGGTTAGATGATAAGAAAGCGATAAAAATAGCTAAAAAACAAGTAAAATTCTATCATTAAATATCTTTTATGACAAAATATATCTCTTTATTCCCTTAATATATAGTTCCCCCTTAAGACAGGGTATACCCCACTCTCCTATATCATTCATAACTATAATTACACCGAAAATATTGAAAGACAATGAAACGAGTTTGCCTTTACCTGATAAGTTGTGGCTCACACACATCACCACACACACACACACTACACACCTTATTTGATTAAATACGTTATAAGTGTGTATAGGAATTATTATTATTATTACTATTGTTGTTGTTGTTGTTGTTGTTGCTATTGTTAGTGGCGTATATCACTCCTTTCCATCGCCATTTGGGATTATCGAAGGGGCTTTCAAGATATTGGGTGGATGGTGGAGTAAGAGGAGATCCACCCATTGCACCACCTTGATTCTCCTGCGATCAATTTGGGTCACCTTACCCCCCTTTTGGGCCACGCAGTTGGCTCGGCTTACTTCCCAAAAGAATGCCACAAATGGCAATGGACAAAATATTTATTCAAATTTGCTTTTTTATTCACACAGACAGTGCACTGAAAGAAATTGGGTGCCATAAAGATTCGTTTTATGATTCTAAATCAAGGAATTAATTTCTTTCTGTCTCCCAGAAATGATCTATTGAAATCCTCTTCAGATAGCTCTAGAAAGTCTCCAAGGAATAATGTTAGTACTCAAAAAAAGAACTCAAAATTTCTCTCTCTGCACTGGCCATGTTCATTGTGCTCACCAAGGAGAGTGACGCGTGGGCTGGGTAATCGTAAACACACAAGTGCGATGTGGTGCGTGTGCATGAGCTTGGCTCGAAAAAAATGTAGAAATTATGAAAATGACAGTTAAAAGCACAAAACGCTCGTCGTTTTGCCCAGGCGAAGGGCATTATGAGGGGGAAAGGGGTGTGTGCTAGTGAAAATGGGTGGTAAGGGGAGGGAGCTCAACAGGTGGGACAGGCAAGAGAAGTGCCGTCGTCGACGACGCTAGACGGGCAAATGAAATAAATGCGGAAACACTCGTTGTCAATATTAATATGACGAATATGGCAAAAACCAAATCCGAAAACTCAATTCAACGCACAGCACACAAAATGCCGCATTAGGCACCCGCTATCGGTGGGCGTTAATGGTGGGGGTGGCAGGGCTCTGAATGGCTGACGACGTTGCACACAAATAGGCGCAAATTCCTAATTACGATCGAGCTTCGATCGGGTCGCAGACAGACTGAAAAGGAACCAAGCAATTGGGTCGACTTGGACCTTAAATATTTCCACGAGAACCTCGTAAATAAATCGAAAAATTGTGAAAATGGTAAAAATATCAAATTTATATTAAATCCTTTTAGTACTATATCTAAAAGTTATCTGATACTCACGCTCTTGTAGACCTCCACAAATCGATTCTTTGGTGGACGACCCCGCTTTCGATTGAAGAAACCATCAATGGAGGTGATCTGGGTGGTCTGGCCGTGATCATTGGGATTGGAGGATTCCATCTCCGCAACGACACTGCTACTGCTGCTGGACTCCATTCCGTAGTCTTCCTTTTCGGACAGCTGGAACGGCATGAGAAGAGGTGAGTTCGCTAACTGATATCGGAGGAAATGCCTGACTCGTGACTCATTCAACCTACTGCCACTCAGCAAAAATCGAGGCGAATCGCCAGAAAAGGGGCCTTTGACCACCTTGAAAGGTTAACACCCGATCGGAGGTCAGGTTTCGGCGCCAGGCCCTTTGCCAATTGCACTTGTCTGCGTCTATGGTGCTTTTTTTTTGGATTTACAGCTAAACATTATTTTCAGGAATTTTGTTAACTCGGCTTTAAATTTACTATTTTGTATGCAAAAAGTTTTAATTTATTGATTTTTGATAATGAGCAAGAAATAAGAAAGGTAGAATATTGTTAAATGACTAATTTAGGAATGTTTCTTAGACATTCTTTTGCTTCTTTATGATCTTTCCATATCTAAAGCAAGGAAAAAAATGGTTAAATAGAAAATCTAAAAACTGTAAGAAACAAAAAACAGTTTCCCTTTAAGAATGTTCCATTTTTAATATTATTAATGCTGAAAAAATCAGAAACTATCTTAAGTTTCCCTAACAAACTCATCAACAAACTTCTTCCAGTGTATGTCTTGGCCAAAAGACTGCCAGCTGCCAACTTGGCTGTTCGCTGGAACACTTTGCATACATGTGCTGCATATGACTTGATAGGGATCGATATTTGGCATGCCAGCATGCGGGTGGCACTGCCAATTCCCCGACAGATCCCAGTTGGATTAGTGGCGAAATCTGTGGACTCTCTCCGGGCACAGTTGATCCTCCCCTCCTCTTGTTCTCCACATACAATGGCCCAATGTTGTCAAAGGGTTCGACGGAATGGGTGGTCCCACCAATTAAGTGAAGTTCTTCTTGGCTGCCGCCGACGATTGTCTGCCGGCGATTAGTTGGCCAGCTTAAAGGAGTTTAAAGGCTAAATGCCTGGCCCACCGGAGATAGACATCTACATGAGAGAGAGCGTTTTTAGTCATTTAGCGGTGTATCCGCTCGCCATCCATATCCATATTATTCAATTCAACTCGTTGCACTCACTGCAGTTGCAGTTGCAGTTGCCGCGAAGCCGAAAAGACAAAAGAGCCGATTCTTGAGATTGCAAAGCCATTAACCAGCAATTGACAATTTGAAGGCAAGCAATTTTATCTCCACATCTTTCAGATACACAAATACACATTCAGAAAGTTATGGTTATAGTTAAAGCCGTTGTAGATTTACTTCACCCACCAATTATATATCGCACATATCAGAGGTATATCCTATAGCCTGGATATTTGTGAACTTATATAACTTTTATTGACACTTTTATTGGCTGTTTATTATCACCGACACTTAGCTCGAATCGAATTAAAAGGCAATGAATTAATGTTCTTAAATCGAAACCCACCGAAACGCGTCCAACAGCGACAAGCCACAACGCTCGAGTGGCGAGCGGATCGGAAAAGCCGACGCTTCAAGTCGGGCCCAAGCCGAAGTTTAAGCCCGAAGCAACAGTCAGCTGATCCATTGACCAAGTCATAACCGAAGATCTTGCCGATCGAAGGCTTTCCCAAGAATTTGGATTCGAGTCAAAGAAATGGTAAAAACTAATATATTCTTCTGATTTGAATACCCATTAATTATTGGTAAGAAAAGTATGCCCATCTACCAAAGATCACGAAATAAAGTAAAGATTTTTTTTTGCAAAAATAAAAATAAGTTTTTAATAACAAAATCTTAAGTCAATTGGTAGAAACAAAAACAGGAGCGACTGGTTCCAAAGCAAAGTCCTGGGCAAGCGTCCCTACCAAACAAGGTTGGCAGAGGTGAAATCACATCGATGAGAATGGGTGGGGTGGGTGAAACAATTTCTAGTCGTCTTACAACATCCATTGCTTTTCACCGCACACACACTGCCGGATTCTGCGCTCCAGGCTGCGAACCATGTTGATGAGCTCCTGGCAGAGAGGCTCCCTTCCGGGGCATCCTTGGCATGGCTCACCGCCTGGACCGCATTCCTTGCAACCACATGGTTTGGTGGGTTTCGTTGGCTTAGTGGGTTTGGTGGGGTTTGTGGGTTTGGTGGGCTTTGTGGGTTTGGTAGGCTTAGTTGGCTTTGTCGGCTCGGTAGGCTTGGTGGGTTTGGTGGGTTTGGTGGGTTTGGTGGGTTTGGTGGGTTTGGTGGGCTTGGTAGGCTTGGTTGGCTTGGTTGGCTTGGTTGGCTTGGTGGGTTTGGTAGGATTGGTGGGCTTGGTAGGCTTGGTGGTTTTGGTGGGTTTGGTGGGTTTGGTGGGTTTGGTTGGTTTTGTTGGCTTGGTGGGTTTGGTGGGCTTGGTTGGTTTTGTAGGTTCGGTGCATTCAGTTGGCTTGGTGGGTTTGGTAGGTTTGGTGGGTTTTGTGGGTTCGGTGCATTCAGTTGGCTTTGTTGGCTTGGTAGGTTTGGTGGGTTTTGTGGGTTTGGTAGGCTTTGTGGGGATGGTTGGCTTTGTTGGCTTGGTGGGTTTGGTGGGCTTGGTTGGTTTTGTAGGTTCGGTGCATTCAGTTGGCTTGGTGGGTTTGGTAGGTTTGGTGGGTTTTGTGGGCTTAGTCGGCTTGGTGGGTTTGGTTGGCTTTGTTGGCTTGGTGGGTTTGGTGGGTTTGGTTGGTTTGGTAGGCTTTGTTGGTTTTGTGGGTTCGGTGCATTCAGTTGGCTTGGTGGGTTTGGTAGGTTTGGTGGGTTTTGTGGGTTTGGTAGGCTTTGTGGGGATGGTGGGCTTGGTAGGCTTGGTAGGTTTGGTAGGTTTGGTTGGTTTCGTCGGTAGGGTAGGCTTTGTTGGTTTTGTAGGAATGGTGGGTGGCTGACAGGTAGTTGGGGTAGTCACCGGTGGTTTACAAGTTGACGGGGTCGTTACCGATGGAGCACAAGTTGTTGGTGGGGGCTTCGTTGTCGGGGGCTTACAGGTTGACGGGGTTGTTACTGGTGGCGCGCAAGTTGTTGGTGGGGGCTTCGTTGTCGGTGGAGCGCAAGACGTTGTCGACGGTGGGCAACCACAGTCTGTACCGCTGGCGGTATTGGCAAAGCCAATGAGCAGTATGCTCGCTGCGAAGAAAGGAAGGAAATAAATGCAGCCCATTTTGCCGATTCCTGGGATGATCGGCACTACTTACCTAGGACGGTAGCAATGGTCAGCTTCATGTCTGAATCTAAAACGAATTGACTTGTTCAGGTGGAATGGGGCCACAAACTGATACCTTTCTTGGATATTCCTCAGCTTTTTATAGGTACATCGCGCTCTAAAACTGCACTTCTAAAAATGGAATCAATGGGGATAAACCATTTGTCGATAATGCAAACACAAGCCTGGACTCGACTTTGTTCGATATTTTCGGGTCGATTCGATCGTCTTGAAAATTAATTATAGAAAAACGTGAACTGCTGTTTTGGAGAGCAATCGCCCTAAAGTAAATATATTAATATTAAATTAATTCTCATACTGAAGAATAGTAAAATTTTTAACATAGTTAATTTTTGTAGTCTTTGTAATCTTTGTCGATTAAATCTTCGAATCATTACTAAATTTATTAGTTATAAAGAAAAAAGGGGTTTTAGGACATTTACTGGCGGGACTAGGGTAAAAAATTGCAGATTTACCTTTAAAGAACATCTTAATTTGTTTTTAAAGATGTGAGGATCAAAAATAGGTTTAAACGTGGATTTTATGTTAATGGAGGTGGATTACATATTGGATCTACATTTTTTATATGTATATTTACATTTTTGTTTTTTCTACATTAAATGTATTTGACTACTTAGCAAATACACAAACCCTCAGTTCATACCAGCTCAACAGCGCCCAAAAGTAATTCAATTTTTAAATATATTTTTGGTTCTTTAAAAAAATATCATTAAAGACCTTTAATGTAGCTCCTCAAAATATGTATAACAAGAGGTATAATACAGGTGGTTTCTCAGTTAAAATGGTTAAGTCGCTTGTCTTTTGTAGCTATTTACAAACTACTTAGGCTTAGCAAATATTTATGTTTTTGATTAAGGAAATCATTTTGCGACGGAAGTCAACCAACTGCTATAAGTAGCCCGCTCATATTCCAGTCAATCACAACACTTGATCCAACCAGATTGATAAGGTTTCCATCCTATTATTTTCAAAGGTTTTCTACTCTTCCAGCTTAATCCAAGATGAAGTTCCTTTTCGTGGTCGCCCTTATTGCCTTGGCCATCCAGGTGGCCTATTCTGCCTCTACAACAACAACTACCACTGATGCCACTACTACCACAACAACAACTACTTCTGCAACAACAACCACAACTGCCACTTCCACCCACAAGAAGCGATGCTGGAAGGGCAACAACTGGTGCCACACCCGCATCCCCAAGAAGAAGTGCAAGCACCCAAAGAGGTGCCACAAGACCGTCGTGATTGTGACCCGCAGAAAGAACTAAAAAATGATTACATTGAAATAAATGTATAAAAACTATTTTGATGAACTTTTTTACTTAGTTTCCGTCCATGATTTAAGTTTTATCACACAACAAGGACCGTTGATTTTTTATTTGCTGAGAAACCGCTTTTCAAAATACTTAGGTATTTTTCTAATATTATTTTAAATATTTCTTTCAGCGTATTATTTTATTTGCTTGAAAAAGGTTCACTTAATTCTTTTATATCTCAGGAATAATCTGCTTTAATATTTTGCTATTTAGGCAATGAAGACTGCGTTAGAGTAGGCTTGGTTTCAAATTATAGGCCTACTCACCTCTTGACCTTAAAAACATTCAGTTTTGTTTTATTGCCATAAATATTTCTTTTACAATAATATATATTCCTAAAATAAGCACTAATATTGTGGATAAGTTTTAAGTAAAAGAAAAAATACACAAAAATTACTAGTTTTTAAAATTGAATTTTACGAATTTCATTTTGTAAATTTGCTCAATTTTGAACTTCTCTTAATATTATGTTAAGTAAATATTTGCTTTATAGACGAGTATGGATACGACTTTAACAGCTGTATTTGCAAGTCAGTAAGCCATATGCTTGGAATGGATAGCCAATATTTGACATCGCACCAATGTATTGAAAATAATTTATTAGGCTTATAATCTACTCTATAAGGAAATTATTTCCAGAATTATTATTTGTCAAATGTATTCACAAATCTCAAACAAGAAGCATAACTCGAGCAGATTTCGCCTATAAAACAGCTAGTGAACACTCCACTTAATCACAACACTCCGCCTCACCAATTCGAAAAGATATCCAAAGATCCCAGCACAATCCAAGATGAAGTTCCTTTTCGTGGTTGCTCTTATTGCCTTGGCCATCCAAGTGGCCTATTCAGCTTCCACCACCACAACTACCACTGATGCCACCACTACAACAACTACAACTACCGCGGCCACTACAACAACAACCGCCTCTTCCACCCACAAGAAGCGCTGTTGGAAGGGCAACAATTGGTGCCACACTCGCATCCCCAAGAGGAAGTGCAAGCACCCCAAAAGGTGCCACAAAACAGTCGTAATTGTGACCCGCAGGAAGAACTAGAAGACATCGATTTTTAATTTGAAAATAAAAAACCTATAAAAAGAGATTTTGAGTTAGTATTTATTACTATGTTATTCATATTTTAGAAATCGTAACCCTGACATTGTGAACAACATATCAATATTTAAGACACTACTTCACAAAAATTTTAAAAATAAGTAGTCATATACCTTGATGAGCTGATTATTCAATTTCCAAACGTCCGCATTGCGACCAAAACAACGTTCGGAATTTGTATTGTCAAGCTGCTATGAGCTTAAATATTACGTCCCAATCGATTGGCATTCTTGTCTAAAAATATTAATTTTCAATAATTTTTTGTAACTTATGTTAACCCTTTAAAAAATTGCAAAACTTGCAAAAATTTTTGTTCCCAAAATCAACCAAAAAATGTCGAAGATAGTTAGTTTTGGTCTTAAGCTCAGAGAACAGTCGGCCTTGTCGGTCAGCGTCTTGTTTTGTCGAAGATAGAGCACAAAAATCCGGTAATATACTGTGTTTTTAAAGTTTTTTCACGTTATATAATATTTGAAATCTAACAATGCGAGAAATAAACAAAATATGGAATGCCATACTTCGTTGAGCTTGTAATTGTTTTCTACATCGATAAGCGCTTTAATCTACAATCGTTTATTTTTACCAATTTTCGCAAAAATACTTTATAAAATAAAAAAAAACTGTTAAAACATTATTTTTTCAAGTGCTAGTCTAGTGACTAGATTCTAGTCTAATCATGTAAATCTTGTTCCTAAAGTAATTTTGTACATATTAATTCAGGTGTGATTTTTGTGTTAGTAAATCAAATATTACTTGTAAATATTTCATAGCTTACCTTACCTTACCTAGGCAAAATATGTGTTTTAACATAACTGGGAAATCTTTTCCCAAATTATTATTTGACATATGTTTTTATTAACAACAAACAAGATACGAAATGGTAGGAAAATTTGCCTATATAAGAATAAGATTTCACCATAATTGATCACAGCACTTTCGAGCCCCGTTTCGATAAGGTCTTACCACTTCTTTCGCTTCACCGTCAAAACCAAAGATTCAAGGATCACCCAAGATGAAGTTCCTGTACGTGTTTGCCCTCATCGCCTTGGCCATCCAGTTGGCCGTCCCAGCAGCAGCTACCAAGCTAAAACCCCACAAGACCATCGTGATTGTCACCCGTGCGAAGGCCTAATCCCGGGGATTTTTTTGCTTTCTCTTTTCTTTCGAAATAAATTTACAAAAAAATATATTTCTTTGCTTTATAATATCCTTTTTTATAAAAAAATAAATTTTTGCTTCTTATACAAAAAATATATTTCTTTACTTTATAATTTCGTTTTTTATAAAAAACTCAAATTTTTGTTTTTTTTTATGGTTGGTTCTGGCTAAGACTTTTTTTTAATAATTTTATAGTTATTATAAATAATAAAATGGAATATAAATATTCTATTTTAATTTTTTATAAAATTAAGGAATATTGCAAGAACTCCGTATCTTCTTCTTACGCATATATAAATATATTTAGTTGATAGTTTCCTTGGAGAGTTTATATCTTCTACAAACTAGATAATTTGAGAGAGAAAGTTTTAGATTTTGTCTATTAAAATGCATTTTATTTAACTTAGTTACCTAAGACTATAAATGAATCCGATAGCAGTTATAGAATTCACATATTTAACATTAGAACCCATTTAATGATATTTAAAAAAGTTCTTCGATGGAACTTGCTTAAAAATGAAACAGAGCTTACCAACAAATTTATAAAGAGACCTTTAAAAGTGACCTAATTCAATTGTTAAAAATCGTTTTATAATTTTTAAATTTTATTCACTTTTCCAAATATTATTTGGTTTATTTGTTTAAATTTCAGTTTCCATGTTTATGTTAATTAAACCTAACAGTGATGCGGATCACACATTACACAGCTGTCTTTACATGCTAGTAAAATGGTGGTCCAGATTTTATGCTTTGCTAATTTATGGCTTAGCTCCATGATATTGTAGGTCTGTTAACATTACTTTAAGGAAATAACAACAAAAACAGTTGTCAAATATGATCTTAAATGTTAGTAAAATAACGTATATAAAGGCACTTGTTACACTAGTTAATCAAACCAATCGATACACCAATTCAGTTCAGTGTAGCCTCCTGATATCCTCAGTTATCAGCAGATTTGAGAAATACCTGAAAGTTTCAAGATGAAGTTCCTTTTCGTGGTCGCCCTTATTGCCTTGGCCATTCAGGTGGCCTATTCTGCCTCTACAACAACAACTACCACTGATGCTACCACTACCACAACGACAACTACTTCTGCAACAACAACCACAACAGCCTCCTCCACCCACAAGAAGCGTTGTTGGAAGGGCAACAACTGGTGCCACACTCGCATACCCAAGAGGAAGTGCAAGCACCCCAAAAGGTGCCACAAGACAGTCGTGATAGTGACCAGAAGGAAGAACTGAAAATCACCAACAAACTTTCAATGACAAAATAAATAAATATCTACAAAATATTTGACATTTTTCTTTTTTCAATTTATATTTTTACATACCATTATCACATCTGTTATTGGCTTGAAAGAAATGCAAACGTTGTGTTAGTTTTCTACCTGTTTTTTCATGAGGCTAAAGGTTAAATTGGAATAGAGCTTTAAGGAGATTCTTAGGGTTATAATGAAAGGAAATAATACTGTAGGGTAGGCAGTCTTAGTGAATGTTTATAAATTAACGCCCTGTTTTAAACTCGTTTTCTCTTTTTTTGGGCTCGAAGACACACGGCCAACAGACTCTTGGAAACTAAAACTCAAGATCTCCCTACCTTTTTTAACCCAAAATGTATTTGGTTGATACTTTCCTTGGAGGGTTTATATTTCATTCCTTGCGAGGTATTTTTACGAATATAAAAAATAAACTTAAATAAAAATTAATTACATGCGCCATGCTTATTTTGTTTACTTAATTAATTTCCAGCTTCAGCTTAAAGTATACATATATTTACGAGCATTCTGGTGCCATGGATTCTTCATTGTTCAGCTGCTTTGCCATGTCAGTAAGCCATTGGGTTTATTTGGCACGCAAATATTTGACATCGTAGAATAGGATATATATGTGGATTAGCTCATAGAGGAACGAACGGTAAGGAAATAATTTTCAAAATTATTATTTGACAAATGCCTATAGTTACTGCCAAAGAACTAGGAAAAAGCTGAAGTAGATTTCCACTATATAAGAGAATGAGTTCGGTACAGCAAATCACAACATACGACAGCTTACAAAAGCATTTTTCGAGTTTCCATTCGATTTAAATAAAAGTTGGAAGCACTCTCAGGATACCTTAAGATGAAGTTCCTTTTCGTGGTCGCTCTTATTGCTTTGGCCATACAGGTGGCCTATTCTGCCTCCAACACAACAACAACTACAACAGATGCAACGACTACAACAACCACTGATGCAACAACAACCACAACCGCCTCTTCCACCCACAAGAAGCGCTGTTGGAAGGGCAACAACTGGTGCCACACTCGCATCCCCAAGAAGAAGTGCAAGCACCCAAAGAGGTGCCACAAGACCGTCGTTATTGTGACCCATAGGAAGAACTAAATTTCATAAGTAAATTGCCAAAGGACAAGACTCTTAATAAATATGTTAAAATCTATACAAAAAATGTAGTTCGTTCACTAGAGTCCCTTAAGGTTTCTACTCCACGCGATCCCCTATAAAAATGATTCTGATTTTTGCAGCAGTAATAACAAATTTATTAAGAAAGATTTTAGAGTTACAAGAAATCAACAAATAACAATTTTGAGTGTTAAGAGAAGAAGAAATCTAAATCATCCAAGTTGGCTCTCCGCAGACGCACTGGCGGATCTTCTGCTCAAGGCCTTGCACAGTACGGATGAGGTCCTGGCAGAGTGGGACCCTTTCAGGACACCCAGCACAAGCCTTGCCTCCAGGGCCACAAGGCACACAGCCACATTTGCATCCTTCGGCAAGATCCGTGAATCCAATGATCAGAATGCAAGCTGTGGAGAAGATGGAAGGAATATGAGGTGGATAATGGTTAGGCATCAAGTTGAAGCCTTCTTTACTTACCAATAATGGCAACAACGATCAGCTTCATGGTTGTATCTTGATTGGGATAACTTTACCAGTTGGTGCCAATTTAAGAAACCTCTACACCTTTTATAGTCCCAAAAATATAAGTGCATCAGTGGAAAATTTCGTGGGGCTGATCCAAAAATAAAATGTTTCGAGCAAACCATTTGTATCAATGTTAGTATAAACTTTTAAATGACCTACGATTAAACCTTCTTAAAAATCATTAATCTTAGCTACTAAAAATACAAGCCATCTAGACCTGCTAGCCTAATATATATTAAGATTAAGAATCTTAAAATCTGTTTCAAAAAAGAGAGAATTTATGACTTTAAACTAATAAGAAACATAACTTAGACTTAAACTTAGTAACGAAAAGGGTTAAAATCACTAAAAATAAAACAGCCTTGAAAACAGATGGGTAAGAGCAATGTTTTAAAATAAGTTTAAATTTTTATTTACTTAAATACAAATGGTTTGTTCGGAATATTTTATTTTTGGATGGCTGGCCCAAAATTTTCCACTGATCCATAGATATTTTTGGGGCTATAAAAGACGTATCATTCCCTTAAAATGGGCACCAACTGGTAAAGTAGACCCAATCAAGATACAACCATGAAGCTGATCGTAGTTGCTATTATTGGTAAGCAGAGAAGGCTTTAGCTTGATGCCTAACCAGTAACCACCTCATATTCCTTTCATCTTCTTCACAGCTTGCATTCTGATCATTGGATTCACAGATCTTGCCGAAGGATGTGGTTGTGTGCCTTGTGGCCCTGGTGGCAAGGCTTGTGCTGGGTGTCCTGAAAGGGTCCCACTCTGCCAGGACCTCATCCGTACTGTGCAATATCTTCAGAAGCAGATCCGCCAGTGCGTCTGCGGAGAACCAACTTGGATGATTTAGAGATCTTCTCTGAAAACCCAAAATTGTTATTAACTTTTAACACCTTAAAAAAATAAAACCACCGAATATTTTTGTCACATTTAAAAAATTTATTGTTTTTTTTTTGGATTGTTTTTTGTTTATTTTTTAATTAACTTTTACACAGAGAAAAAAATTAAATTGCAATTTTTGCATTTGTTTTTGTTGTTTTGTTTTGTTTTGTTTTAATTTGATTAATTAAAATTTGTTAAATTGCTAGAATTTGTTAAGCGCTACTAAAATTTAAATTTGTTTTTGTTTTTTGCATTTGTTATGCTTCATTACATACACTCATAATCATATAGGTAGTATATGGTATACATATATAATATATATTTTACTCTTCCTTCCCCTCTCATCCTTTTTTCGTTTCAGCTCTCGCCTTAGACTCGTTATTCGTTAAAGACCTATTGCCACATATATAATGGAAATCGTTTATATATATAATATATATAAACATTATTTCGTCACATAACTATATATATATGATGTACAACACAGATTCTTATCAACGGTACGGTACTTCAGAACAATCTGTTCATTTCCTTTTTTGAATATTTTGTAAGTTGAAAATGAAAGGGAGGGGAAAATGTTGGGAGGAGGGAAACGGACTCTAAGAGCTTTCCTAACTGATCGGAGAAAGCTGGATACTGAAACTTGAACTGAAAGTGGAAACAATAATGAAATCTCTGGCTCAGATTGCATATATATATATATATATGGTGGGATAATCGTTTGAATTGAACTTCCTATCGATAATCGAAGATGCGCCGCCATACTGATTTCGTTTGCAATTGGAATGCAGTTTTTGAATTAAAATTTATAGAGTTTTGGGAGCTGTTTTTTTTTAAAGTTATGTTTTATGGTTAACGTTTTAGAGTTTTGTTTTTGCTTTCGTTTTAAGTTGAGGCGTTCGTTTAATTGATTTGTAATTTGATTCTTGAATGCATTAATTGGTTCCCTTAAACAACACACACACGCACATACATTGAAAATATACACATTAGTAGTAATCATAATATTTGCCTTAATCGGTAACTTTGTAGTCTGTAATAGAATGTGTAAAAATCCTACAATATATATATAGATATATAGAATTTTTTCTCGCTTAACCCTTTCTGCATAAATACATATTTATATATCTGGGTCATTGATACTTGTCACGATTTTTTCTTTTCGATTTTGTTTTTCTTTTTAGTTTAGTTTATCATTATTGTTTACAAAATACTTTGAGGAGCACTGGACAGATCTAAGATTCATTTCTTTCTTTGTATCTCTATACAGTTTACACTTATCCATTTTTCGAAAACCTAACAAAAAGTTAACTCCGAAAAGTTTGGAGTTAGTTGCACTACTTCAAAATACGATATCCGATATCTGAATTGAAAGAAAAACCAAAGAAAAAGCTCAAGAAAAACCACATAGAAAGCGTACTTCTTACAAAGCCGGGCAAGGGCAACATGAACCAATTAGAATGCAAATGATATAGAACTTTCTACAAATTAAAATCATCTACAACTACTTGGTTATTAAACTTGATCGATTTGAACAAAACGGAAATTATTGAAATGAAGTATTTTTTGCAAATTTAAGTTTATTTAAGATTACTTTGTTTGTTATTAAATAGATCACATTCATGGTTCTATTTCTTCACTTGCTTCGTTTATGTTCACATTTAATTAGTTAATACATTATATATTTTTTGTTTTCTTCTCATTTGTATTGCTGCTACGGTGGCCCTATTTACATACACTATATATATTTAATATATGCATATGCCTATGTGTGTGTGTGTGATTGTGATTGTGTCGTCTAATGATCGAGAATGGAGCTGAAAACGTCGATACTTGAGTTTGAGATGGCTAAAACATGCATTAGAGGGCTCTTGGCATTTTACACCTGGGTTAACCTAATTAACTTTAAAGCAACGTTTTAAATACCTAAATTGTATTCCTCTCCATCTTCTTCTTCTTGTTGAATTTTCCACCTCCGCTCGCTCTCCTTTTTATCATATAATGAGTTCATCATCTTATTAGTCGAGATCTTTGTGGGATTGATTATTGTTGGAAAAACGTATTTAGTTTTAGTTTAAATTAAAAGTTATTGCAAATGTTTTTTGTATTTCTTGGTTTTATAAATAAATTCTTCTTGTTGTTTGCCATTGCGTGTGTTTGTGTGTGTGTGTTATGCACGATTAAAAACTACAATTAACCTGTCGAATACTTGGGATCGGTTCTGTGTGTGTGTGTGAGTGGCTTATGTGAGAGATTTAAGAGTTCTGTTTTTTTTTTAACAACAGATTTAATGAATTTTGCTTTGCCTTTTTTTTTTGTTATTCTACGCTAAAAATTATTTTAAAATTTATTAACACAGATGACTTTATATTTTCCGAAAGTTTTTGCTTCTTCTTTTGCCTCTTCACAATAGTTACCCATTTTTTTCATAAATTTTTCACTTCGTTTTTTTTTTATAAATAATTTCACTGCTTAGACGATTTGTTAATCAAAACAATTTGTTTGCCAACTAACTAGCCAAAATGCATCCATACAATGTATATATATTAGTTAAATAGTTTAACCCTTTCCTATCGATATTCATCGTTTCCCTCTTATCAATTTTGCTTGTTTGTCATATCGTGTTGTTGTTGTTTGTTGTTATTATTATTATTGTTTGTTGTTTGTTTGTTTCGTTTGTTAACTAAACTACAGATAAACACACAGCTACGCACATTGAATGAAATCTTCTGCTGGATAGTTTAGTTTCTCTTGTTTGTTGGTTTTCGTTTTTGCTTGTTTTTCTTTCTTTAATATTAAAATCTTACATTAGAAACACATCAAATATTAGAAATATTTTTCATATATATCTATATATGTATATTGTATATTCAGCCACTTGGCCACACTTTTTCCTCGCAAAGTTTGGAACTCTGCACAAAAACAAGAAAATAATAATAATAATAATAATCAATTAAAATAATAATACAGAGCTTAATCATAAGTAGGTGGAAATATTTTTGAGAATTGTTTTGAATCTAATTTACTAATATTAATTTTTTGTTTTGTTGCTATTTGCTTCCTTCTGTAAGATAAACTGGGGCACCGCGACAAGTCGGGATCGAACATAATAATTTCGAAATAATTTCCAAATCGATTCCAAAAAACTTTCTGCAATTGATTTCTTTATGTATGTTGTGAGTGTATTCGTGAGTGTGTGTGTGTGTATGCGTTTATCAATATTCATAATTATTATATAATATCACATCAACTTTGTTTTTATATTTGTTATTATTAACTTTCCTCTTACTGCCTCGGTTGATCGATTCCGATTCTTATTGTTTGCTCTCTCTCTCATATATATATCTCTATATATAGAAATTTGTTTGTTTCCTTTTTTCAATACAGTTTTTTAGATGTATGAATGCATTTAGAAGTGATAGCCTAATTGAATCGTGACAAAAGACATGTATATTAGATATATATTATGCACTGAAGTAATGCATAATGTATATATATATGGGCTACATTTGATTCCTGGATTATGATGATGATACAAGGTGATGGTGTACACACATCCATACATACAAATGGGGTTAATACTCTATACTTCTGTCCGGGGGTTTTGCATTTTGTATTCAATTTAAAACGGATCACCGACAACCGTTCACTGAGTGAAGTTCTCTTTATCTTCTGCTTGTCTGCCTTAACGTTTTACAATATTTTGAATATTCCTTATGGTTGGTTTTGTGTTTTTCTGTTCTCCTCACACTCCTCCTCCTCTCACGTTTACAATACTTCTTTTTTTGCGATTTTTTTTTCGTTTTTCAAAAAGTACCTTTTTTGTTTAAGCCGAAAAGTCAGTCCAATAAGAGTTTTGAGTTGCCTGCAACTGCAGTTGATTTGTTTTTTTGGTTTTGTTTTTTTTAGAGCTTAGGTTCCAAAATAATTGTTTTTTGCTTTAGCGTTGAGTTGATTTGTTATTTGCAGGAGTAAGTTGATAGTTTGTGGTCCAAAAGTTTGCCTCTACGGTTAAACATCATCATCATCATTATCAATCATCATCATGATTCTCTGTGCATTCCATAATGAAGATCATGAATCTAGGGTATCGCGACAAAGGAGACACGACCGATTTATATGGTTGCTATTGCGATTGCTGCTGTTCTTTTATCTGCTGCTGTTGCTGTTGTTGTTCGGAGGGATTGATTGAGTTTTGAGCAGCCCAGCGAATATCGTTCGCACTCCATGCCGCTCCTCCGTCGAGCGACTCACTCCGATGAGTAGAGTTTGTTCTTGGTCAGCGTGAAGTCGGGACTGATGTTGATAGTATTGCTACGGGTAAGGTTTCTGTTGGTAATCAAAAATCATTTTAGTTATGTTGCAATACAGATTACTACTTCCAGGTCCACTCACTTTATAAACTGCGGCAGCAGGGAGGTCCAGCCGCTCTTGTCCTGCCTCAACGTCAAGTACAACTCGAATATCGACACCGTATCCGGATCCACTTTGAACGATGCTATGCGCCTATGGGGAAGAAATATATATTAATAAAATGTGGAATAAATTGGAAATATATAGGAAGAAGTCTTCTTAGTAACTTATTTTAGTTCTAGAAACTACTTTGTGGGTCTGACAACTAACCTGACGTTATTTGGCTCGCTTTCAAACTCGATGAAGAGCGTGCAGGCCCGCTCGCCACACGGTTCCCTCTCCGACATCCGAATTATCTCGGCGGCGATACGCTGCGTTAGGTCGTTAGGCAGCGTCACTTCGGTGCACGCCAGGTGGCGTCGCTTAGCGTCCCGCAACTGGGCCTGCAGCTGCTGCGACAATTCCCGCACCGCACTGGCGCTCACATCGTCCAGATTGTCGGCGGCTCCAAATCGAGCGCCTGCGGTCGACTGCAGCGGCGAGGCGGGCAATGGATGGTGTTGGTGGTGATGCTGCTGAGCGGTGCTGGCCAGCACGTTGGTCATGTAGGCTTGATGATAAGCGGCTGCGTTGCCACCACTAACGGGCACTTCGAAACTTGCCGCAGCCACAGGCGATGTGGCCTGTTTGGGAGTGGTCATCCCACCGACAGCTCCTCCCGCCAACGGTCCACCGCCCCCTGCCGATGGGGGCGTGGAAGGTGGTCGGGTGTTGAGAGCCTGGTGCTGTCGCATGTGAAGCACAGAGGCTGGATGGCCATCTACTACGTCGACGTCTAGGACACCCTCTCCGACGGCCGTGTTCCCGTTGACACCCACTGTTAGGTCCTCCTCCTCCTCCAGCGGCGCTGTCGCAGCTTGCCAGTCTGCAAGAAAGTACGAGAGGTTTAGTTAGATAAAATTATTATTATTAATTAATAAATACTTAAATTAATTAAGATTAAAAGATTTGTATATGATATATGTTAGATTATCAAAAACCTTTTAAATTAGAAGATGGATGTTAAATTTCCAAAAAGAAAGCTTTCTCGTCTTTAACGCCGAAATACCTGAATATGCAGAAAGCTTCAAGTCAAGCAATAATTTTTCTAACTTTATACGATTATCACCAATGAAACTAACTTTTATTTAATTTATGCAAAAACCGGGTGGGTAAAGTTCGAGTTAAGGAAGTTCAACTGTAGTTTTGGATGGCTCATCGACCGGCAAAGAGTTCCATGTGGGAATGGAAGCGAAAAAAATCAGCTGATGTCTGAGACTCGGGATCCAACACTCGCGTTCCACATTCGGTGGAACCGGAAAGAGTGCAATGCGCAGACTCCGCTTCCACGGAGCAGAGAGGGGCGAGGCGGGGACGGAGGAAATCACCTGGCAACAACAGCTGGAAAATCAGCCGTTTCCCGTTTCCAGCTGACGCTCACTCTCTCTTTGGCTCTCTGTCTTTCTCACTCTCTGTATCCCCAGTCAGCAGTTTGTGCCCCTCCTCCGTCTTCGTTTTACCCCCTTTCGAACGACTTCCTCTCCGCCACTTGCTTTTATTTCTTTCGCTGTTACTTTATTACTCGACCGACCAGACAATAAAAAGCGGAGCTCAACTACTCTCAAAAACTCAACTCCATTGAGCTGGGAATTAAATGATACAGTGGAACGAGTTGTTGAACAACAAAGAGTGCTTGGAATATCTCTCTTATTAAAAATGGCCCTTCATTAATGTACTTTTCACTAATATTAAACTCGAACCATTTAAATTTTGGCTAAGCTCCTATAAATCTACATTTTAGTTCTCTTCAACGAAAGTTAACATTGTTGAGCGTTTTCTCTTAAATGAGTGCACTTTATTACTAAAAAATCCAATATATGTATGTCCATACATATGTACCTATATAGAACTTATAAACGTTTATAAGGTTAAAACACATTCTTTTCTTGATCATAAAGTGGCAGACTTTCTACAAAGATTGCATGAAAGTTTATTTAAAAGTTTCATTCTCTTGGTTTGACTCGAACATCAGAACCCGAACTCCTTTCCTGAGACTACTATGTGTATATAATGTATGAGTGCAAGTGCAGCGAGTACAAATTAACTACTTGGCTTGTCTCGAAAGCGTCTTGTAATTAGCGCGGAAACTCTTTAAAGAGGGTATCCCCTCACCTCACTCCTCCCCACATTCCCCTGTTTCCACCCATTCCGCCCACTGTATAATCATTGCAACGTTGCTGAATGGACAATTTGCTCTCGTTAGCTTTGCATGTGTCTCTTTCCCCCTCCTTCTCTTTCTCTGTCCCTCTCTTTCGCTTCTACCCCCTGCATCTTGAATGCTCTGCCATTCTCTTGTCTTCCATCTCCCTCTGGCTCCTTGGCACACCCGCGTAATTAAGAAATTAACGGCACATGTTTGCGGCTCTGCATGTGTCCACATGTGTGTGTCTCCCTTCCATTTCTACACCCTCGCCCATAGCCCCATCTCGTTCACACTGCGTATATGTTATTGGATTTTGTCAAGTGCCGTTGTCTCCACAAAAGGGTTTGTGCAAAGTCAAAAAAGCGAAAGCCAAAAAGAACCAAATAAAAAACAGACAACGACCACACACTTAATTACAAGGCACACAAACAAATGTGTACATTGTATGGATGTACGGTTGTACTTCTGCCACAGCTGCGAGCAAATTAGTAGCTATAAAAAACCCAACACATAAATGAATAAAATCTTGTTATCTTTACGAACCAATAAAAAACATTCTATAAATCGCACCTATTAGGTAATTCCCCGTACAGAATGTATTTGTCTAGCACCCCAATTTTGTGTATTATGCACATACAAAGTTAAACAATTTTGGAAAGGCTTTCTTTTTACATCAGAAACAATCCTAGCTATACTTATGTAAGTACATACATATATGTATATATAATTATTTTCTATATTTTATAAAGAATACATAATATAAATTAAATATACATACATATGTATGTATGTGCATACATATATTTTTGTAACCGCCACTGTATGTACACATGTACACATGTATGTACATATGTATAAATGTAAAAGGATGTGTCTTGTGGGTGGTGTATTTGTATGCATATTTGTTTTGAAAGAGAGATGGGCATATTGATGAACAGACACCCCCACCATCCTCTTTTCGTTCTATCTCTATCTTACTTGCCGCAGCAATCGTGGAGCATTTGTGGTTATGTACATATTTTGTGCATTCGAAATCAACAAGAACAACAACAGCAACGAACACAAGAATGTATAACAATACCTGCGAGAAAGATGAAGCAGCAAACGCAGCATCAGCCCATCCAAGTTAACGGTACACCGCAAACATGACTGTTCTTGTTCTCTTGTGTTTCCCTGTTGTTCTTCACCTCAGACGAGTGAATGAGGCGTATAGAGGGGGCAAGTAGAAGGTGGAAGAGAATGGGGGCACATAGGTGAGCTTCGGGCTTATTACTTGGCTCTCTTAATGCGTGACGTCGCTTGGCCTTGAGATTCAATTTTCGTGCACTTCGAAATGGCAATCATGTTCTTACAGTTTATATCGACTAACTGAACCGCACACATTTTCATATTCAGATTTTAATATGTAAATTGCTTTTCAAAAACAAACATAAGGTTGTTTTCTTTTGTTTTACGTGCAGTGCTTTCAAAATTAATTAATTTTCGACATGTAACGGTAAACAAATTAGATACAGTAAGCATTAAGTTTGACAGTACTTACAAAAAATATAGTTAAGAGCCAGGTTTACAGTGACCTAAGCTAAGCTGATATTTACTGTAATACAACTATGAGAATTGATAATTCTGTTGCTTTTATTTTTAGATCTTCTACTTAATTACCGAAGTAAACCGTACAGTTATCAAAGTTGATTGCTCGGTACCATTCTATTTTGGATCTTCAATAAAACGTCGCTAATCGAGTTAAATTGGTTGTAAGACAGTCCATGAACCGTGGCTTGTATGTACGAGTATTTGTGTATGGTTGTTGATATGTACATATGTTAGTTTTTTTTTTTGAATCAATAAGCAGTTTATAAATAATTCATTGCGACCAATTTTGGAAGTCATTCGCATTTGGCCCCCTAATGGAAATCTTTGGAAACCGTTGCGAATCTAAATTCGACAAACCTACACACATGGGGTTGATAAATATTAAATCAACTTCTTGATAACCCTTTTTCGCAACGCCCAACAAGAGATTTATACATATGTACATACTCACACATACACAAAGGGAGAGAGATGCTATGGACATGGGCATAACTAATGTTTATTCAAAGAACTTAAGTAATTAATTAAACAACATTATTTTCACCAAAGCACACGACCTTTTGGGATGGGGAAATACCTTTCCAGGGAGCTGCCATATTTGGCTATATAAATGCACATAAATACAATAGAGTCCAAAATAATAGATATTTTTAAGGATTTACCAGTGAAAACAATTATCCTCAAAACAGGTAATAAAAATTTCACGGTTTTAATTTTAAAACACCTATTTTTTGCTTGCATTACCAAAAAGGAAAGTAACATTAAACTAATAATGTCTTGAAAGCGTTTTAAATAATTTATAAGAGCTTCGTGTTTATTTAAAAAATAATCATAAAAACAAATAGAGTGTTTAAGCAATAAGTGCTATTATTTTCAACACAGCTGTAGTTTATTTTCTTTATGGAAAAAGAATAATGGACATGTGTGAGTGTTGGTGAGGCTGGCTTGTTCGTATGTCCTTCGAAAATAAAATTGCATGCGCTCAGTCAGTCATGAAATTAAATTGACTGCAAATACATACATACGTTGCCAGGGGCGTGGAGGGGTGTTAGGAGGAGGTGGTGGCTCAGCGTTGGGGTATTGATGGGGTCTGCAGAGCTTTGAGCTCGATGCAAGCCAACAACAAGGTGGAAATGTAACCAATACGAACCCCTCAGCTTTTTTCACGCCAAATCTGTCCATTCCAGACCATTAGGTCTTTTGATTGGGAAAAATGGTTTCCATATTATACTTAGATAACTTTCTTACATATTTATCACTAAAGAATTTAGTCACTTCTAAACATACAAATTTTAAAAAATCCAAAAAATAGCTAAAACTTATTAGAAAAACTAACTATGCTAAGCTAACTATTTCCGACGGCGAATGATAATACATACATAACCATAAGATACTTATTCCTGTTCAGTTAACTGATTTCCCCAAAAATATAAATATTTATCCCTGCATTCCCGCTAAATTCGACAGCACTTGCAGCTAACGGAAAATCTGCGGGCGTGTGTGTTCGAGGCGACATGTTGTTGCATGTCGCTACCACCGTCGCTTGTTGTGCTGTTGTGTTCGCCTCTGGGTGATTTTACATTTTTTTTCTTTCGTTTTTGGTGTTTTTGGCTTACGTGCTACGTGGCTATGTGGCTATATGCATATGGAATCCCTCCCTATTGCCCAGACGTTCGTCCCCCATCTAATTTGCCCAACTCAACTCCTTCTTGGTGCCGCCGTGGTGCAAAGTTTAAAGTGACAGGATTAACAGGATGTTGCATAATCCGCCCGTCAGACACATGAACAGGATATGCCGGCCTGGCTTCGGACAGGAACAGAGTGCAAAATGCATAATGCAAATTTTACATACGTGCAACCCCCAAAAGAACCTTTAGCGGGATGTTAAAAGAAATCTTTTTTTTTAAGGAACCATTTTGAAATTTTCAAAGTTCAAGTTGTTTTTCGATCAGTCAGGGTTAATGGCAAAGGCTTATCTAAATCAAAATCAAACTTGAATCAAAAACACTCAAAGCATTAAGCATTCCATTTGAAACGAAAAGAAAAATCTATAAAAAAAAATGTTTTAGTGGTAAAAGAAATACTTGAATAAATGAATTTTATAATCTCTGGAAAATTTGCTAAAGACATCAAATGAAATGTTCCCGTACGCTATAAAATTAATTGAATAAAAAAAAATGAAGAAAAATAATGGCCCATAAACATGAAAAATAAAAATGTTCGTGGCACATTAAAATATCCGAAATGTGCCTTAATTGAGAATTCTTGCAAGAAACGACCCGAGTGGATTTTGTAAGTTCACAAGGTGAGCAGCGACCTAAAATTTAGTATTAATTCGCGGCGGGGCATTAAAATTAATCAAGCGTATTAACACCGGCCACTAAATTTTTAATCATTTTCGTTGCTTTGCTTGTGCTGCACTCGTTTTTAAATCTTCTGAATCACAAATATTTGTTTTTTATTTGGAAATTTCAGTAAAACAAACGAATTTAAAAAGGAAAATTTGTCTTCTACTCTGGAGAAGTGACTTAATATCTTTAAAAGAAACTTTTCTCTGCCAACTTTGGATACAACTTCTTATAAGCGAACGGAAAATAAATGCACTTCTTAATTTTTCAAGAATGAGACACACAATTTAACTTATTTTTAGTTTTGTTCTAACTTAGTTTTAAGTTAACTTTAGGAATAAAAAGTTTTTAACATTCACAACTAGCCAAAACTATTTTTAAAATATTCTAACCTAAGTTTTTCTAATATTATAGCTCTGAAGAACTTCATAGAAAAGTAAAAATGAAACATTTAACATCCTTGAATTATGTAAATTCTTTCCAAAACTTTTTATTGCAGCCATTGAACCTTGTAAATTTTATAGATTAAACTTTTTAAATCTTGTAAAATGAAATTAAAAAATCTTCAAACTTTCAATTTGTAAAGAACTTTTGAATTAAAAAATTAATCTAAACCTTTTTTTAATTCACAAACTTTAACTTTACAAATCTTATAAACTAAATTTATATTATTTTGAACTTACCTTTAATTTTATTAACACCGAATTTTCCCTGAATGTGATTTTGTACTGAGAGCACTTCCATCTTCATAGAATCGCCGTTGTAACTGCTATTTTGTGTGTGTTTCAGCCGAGTGTTGGGTTTATCTTTTCTTTTAAATTAAAGTCTGCCGCCTTGCTAAACTGCCACCGTTATATATATGCGATATATAGATTTTCGATCTCGACCGACTTTCGTTTTATTATGCTTTATATATTGCGTGGATGTGAATAGTAGTTGTATTTAACGTACGTATAGAAATGCACTTTAATCACAAGAATTTGATTTTATTTCGCGTGTGTTGTGTGGTTTTTATTTTTGTTGTGTATTTGTGGTGGAGAGTTCGATTTTCCAGCGATAGCGTTTATTTAACAAACAATTGGAAAAGTATCAACAACTAAATTTGTTATTCTAGTTAAACATTTCAATTCAATACATGCTAAAAAATCAACGCAAATTTGCCGCCCCGTTCAGCTCTCTCTCTCGCTCTCTTTCTTTCGCTTTTGTGGCTTAGCTTCCTTTTTTGTTTTATCTATCTCGCTCTGTCTGGTTTCCTTAGATAAATTAAGCACAGCACATGGTTTTGATTTAATTCAAGACGTTGTTCTTGTTATTTGGACAGAGATTTCAATTTTCCAGGCGTTTTAATCTTTGCTTTGCTACATATGGCGGAGTTTCAAGTGCTGATGGCTGCGTTTTTATTATTTGTAGAAATATTCTTTTATGGTTTTCTCGTTTTCCGATTTTCTGATTTCTATTTATTTTTCCAGCCCTTTTGGTCCGATGTGCTGTGTTTGGCGGCCGCGTGTCGAGTGCGGTTTCTTCAGAAGTTCATGTGAAGCGTATTAAAAAACGGAGCTTTAAGTTCTCTCTTTTGCTCTCTCCCTCTCTCTGTTTCTCACTCAACGCTCGCTCAGCTGTGGCTTTTTTGTTTGTATGGGTGCAAGAGCAGCGCGGCGAGAGAGTTTGGAATATATATATATATATATATAGATATATATATAGGTATGTGTAGAATAGAAAAAAATTGGACTGCGGCAACGGCAAGAACAACAACTTCGTTAACGGGACAACAACGCTGGAGAGCTGAGCTGAGCGGAGCGGAGCAGTTTTCCAAACAGTTTTCCAAAGCTACTATCCGGCCGGCTCGCGTGCTGCTGCTTTTATACCGATTTTCCGCACCGGCAGCGCTGCCGGCGTCGCAGCTTTTCCTTTTCCTTGGCCGTGAACTCTCTCTTGAGCAATGCTCTCCCTCTCTCTCTCTCTCTCTCTCTCTATACTCAGTCTCTTTTACTCAGTTGACTGCCAGCTGCTGCCGGCAATCATGTGTTGCCATCAGCTGTTGTTGGAATAGGTAAGAGTAAACGAGTGGCCTGATCTCTTGAGCGGTTCTAAACTGGAGTGCTCTTGAGCGAAAAAAATTGCTCATGGAAAAATATCCGGGAGTAGTTCTCTTTGAGTCTATCTTTGCTAGGAAGGGGATATTTGAACTGACTACCTTTTCATTTATAACTTGTTAAATTTTACGTTTTGAACTGTAAGATTTTATTTTTGCCTGAATCTAAAAAATAAAATAAATCCCAATAAGATTTTATGCATTTCAGAACTTAGGTTTGGTGCTCTTTTATTTGATTTTCTTAAGACATTTTATGGTGTTTTGGAAAATATATCTACATATATATATATACATATATACTTATATATCAAAAAGTATATGCATATGCTGATAGTCGTATATCTGGCCTTTACCGGATGACACGACCCATTGTACCGCCTCTCGTTCTAGTGGAAATGGCAAGGAATAGCAAGAAAATGGATGAAAATGCTTCGCCGACACAGGGCCTGTCACTGTTTTAACAATTCATCTTAATAGAAATAAAAAATGGCGCCGCTGGCATTGGACAGTCCGGCTAACACTCACCAATCCTCCGCCCCCGCCAGGTCTTTTAGCCAACATTTTAGCCCCCCCTCTTTTCCCTTACCCCATGGATTCCATATCCCATATCTCCCCATCCCATCCCACTCCACTTCCCTTTTCCTATTTGTCACTGGCTCGTTGTTGTGGGTGCTCCGCTTTTCCCTTGGATCGGCTTTAGAGAAAGCATCCGCATTTCCCTCGTCTAGCGGCTGCCTTTTTTTTCCTGTGTGTGTGTGTGAGTGTGTGTGGCGTTTGGGGGGATTTACACATGTCAGTTAATGCTGAAAAAATGTTTACACAACACAATTGCCTTGGCGGTGGGCAACGGGGGCGGGCGCAATGCCCAGCATGGGGCTTCTGCAGCACCAATTCACAGAGAAAAATACAAATATTAACAAAAATAGAGAAAAAAAAGAAGGGAAACTACAGACTAGGACCAAAAGATACTTGCCATTCACTTTACCAAACATTTTTTTTCTAAATATTCGAGAATTTTTTTTTAAGCCAAAAGTAAGCTTTAAAAATTAAACTTTGCTAGACAAAATTTCAACTTAAAATAGGTAAGGATAAGAATAAATTATCTGATTTATCAGTAATAATCTAATAATATCACTTTTATAAATTTCCCATAATTTCTTTTAGTGTATGCCAAAAAGTTTTAAAGGCCAGCACTCCCTCATCTTCTTTAGAATTTTTTCATAGCCACGATGCTGCAGTGTCGAACAGGATAAAAGTCAGTAGCATACAATTAATCAAATGCATGATTTATGTGAGTGAGTTCCACACGAGTTTAACCTAAATACGTCCCGTCGGGAATCAGCCAAATGAGATGTTCAGGGCGGCTAACAACAACTCCCTTCCCCCCTAATCAAAATAAACCCATGGCAGCTTAATAAACCCAGTCCCAATGCAAAGATGTTTACTTTGGCTAAGATGGGCATTGTTTTCTTTAAAAAAAAACGTATTATCTGCTGGATTTTCGAGCGAGAAAAGTACTTCAATAATATTTGGCTAAGAGACTTGAGAGCTAGGAACTAAGAACTTAAGATGGATCTCTGTTTCTTACGTTAATCTGATCAAAATCTATAAAAGTAATCCCAAGAAACTAAATTATCGGTGTATATACTAGAACTAAAGAAAGTGGTTTTGAAAGTAAGGAATGTATTAAAGCAACTCCTTCGCTCTCGATAGGTCTAATGTTTCTATTATTCTATTACTTTTCCCAACCCCATAAAAAGAGCAACACTAACTTATCCAACAACCCCATAAATGTTATGAAATCCATATAGCATATCCACTTAGTTTCAATGTTATTTTTTTTCATGATTTAAAAACTTTTTCACAGGTGTGAGTTAGGTAGGAGGAGGGGTGGTTAAATCACACTAGAAAAGCCTTCAAAGACACACAAATGCACTTGGCAGGACAAATGTGTGGCTCAAATGGTAGCGGCAAGAAAACGTTGCTAAAAGCCTCAATCCGAGCTGCTCGCTCGGGCTGCTGGGCACTTAGGATGGCAATCCTTTCTTCGCAGGATCAAAATTCCCCAATTCCGAATTCCAAACGGAACCATAGAAGCTTCGCTGGGATTCCAAATGGGATACAAATGAACGCCTTTTCCGTGCAACCCAACGCCACTGCCATAGCCATGGTCGAATGGACCACTTAGTGAGCCTTTGTGGCGCAGGAGGAAAATGTAGAGCCTGGCGCGCTGAAGCTCTATAGCTGGCTCTTCTAATGCTTTGCACGTTTTTCCAATAAAATAGGTACAACAACACGGGACCGGGCAACAATCCTTTAAGTTCTTCGATACATCGCCGGGGAGCAGGAAACTGGAGCTGACGAAGAGTGGCTTTTTAGTTCTCGCGCCCATCGCTGCACAGGGAAAAAGAAAAGCCTATTAATTAGTTGGGTCAGTTTTTTGAAGGAAATTACACTTTAGTATTGAAAATAAGTAAGAGGATTGGTTTTTTTTTTTGGTTTATTATTTAATTTAAGATATATTTAGCAAAGTTCAAGTCAAAAAAGGTATTTTAGCCAGAAAGCATTGGCAAATCGAAGTGTTAAGTTTCCGTGGCGATGATTCTATTTTTTGGCTTATTTTTCTTATTTCTTTCTTATATTTTAATCTTGTTATAAATCTCTAATCTAAAAAGTTAATATTATATTCTACAATATCTTAATCTTACTGTTAAGTTTTTCTTAATTTTCCACCGTGTAGGTTTTGGTGCAAAGTTGGATGAGCGGTAACTGCCATGAACATCGATTTTCATGTGATTTGTGTAGACGTGTTTGGGTTTTATTGATTTTCACTTGATTCCCTCCATATGCTTGAATATACTTAAGCCGGTACGTGCACATCTCCATCTCCATCGCCATCGCCAAGCCATCCGCATTGGCATTCGCATTCGCATCCCATGCCATTTTATCCCCAAGCCCAGCGCACACATCATATCCCCAAACCCCAACCCTATCCCTATCCCGTTCCCATTTTTATCCCAGGTCGGTCGTTGTCGACAGCAGCCGAGCAACCGAGCAGCTCTAATGTCAGGATCATGCGAGGTTATCAACATAATTTCGAAAACCACCCATCCGCACCAGCCATCGCCACCACACGCCACTCCACCCACATCTTTCTAGTTTATGATGTAGTAGATTTCTGTTTCTTTTCCTGCAGCATCATGAAGATGATGAGAAGAGCGGTAGTGGGAGTGGTCGTGGTAGTGGTTCTCGTACTAGTGATACTGCTAGAACTGGTCGTGGTCGTGGTCGTGATGAGCAAGATGGGCGCGTGTGCGGTTTGATAAGACGCCAGCGATTCGGCTCCATTTCGTTTGACTTTCATCTGGCATCTCCGGTTTAGGCCATCTTAAAGGGATTGGGGGTTGCTTTTAAAGAGGGGAACGTGTTAGTCTTTTAGTCAGTCATGGGTGAAGATATTGGCTTACCTAAGGAATACATTTTTCAATCTATTTTTATATCAAAATATCATTTTAATTAGGGATCAGTTAGGAACTAACCAGATGGCCTCTCTACCAAAAAAAACTCCATCACATTTAAAGAACAGTAAGACATCACATCGGAAACTGGGCAAGTCCACGCCCACAACGATTGTTGCGCCACAAAGAAGAATTGAAGTATTCCTTGAGCGGCGGAGAACAAGGCAGGCAATTGCCATCAAGTGAGAGGTTCCCATTTATTTGTGGCAGAACGCTGTGGCAATCAAAGGGCCTGCTGGCATTTGTGGATTCCTGGACTCAGTTGCCTGCCTCGTTACTCATTTCGTTTCGTTTCGGCTGACATCTGACATGATTATGTACATTTGTCCCCTGGTGGTGGTGTCGCCCCACCCGTTCCCCCCATCCCTTCAATCCAAGCCACCGCAGAAGCTGACGCAATTTACATGCCATGCTCAGAAGTAGAATATGCACTGGGAGAAATCGGTAGCCTTTGGCCAAAACTCCCTTGAGTGAGGGACGAAGTAGGAGGAAGATGAAGAATCTTTGAGCAAAATAAGGAAAATCCACACAGAAAAGGATGATCATGGAGCTCTTGAATTTTACTATAACTTGAAGTTACATCAAGAAAATCCAACCAGTTTTTCTCCCAGTGCACCCTCGACGAGCCCAACGACCAGCAACTCTAATCTATCAGCGGTCTCTGCGCTTTGCGCTTACCTCGAATATTTTGCACTTTTCCTTTTTGGGGGCGACAAGAGCTCCTTAGCCCGGCTTTCTCATTCACACTTCCTTCTCGTGTTTTGATCGCCAAACCACATTCGCCGGGATTGCTTGCCTGGCGACGGAGGACGGCAGAGGACTTTGCCTGGCATGGCACAAGTGTCCTTACAACATTTTTTACTTTGTAACGCAAATTCTGAAGTAAGCATGAATAATGCATGCATTGTGTGTAATTCTTCAAGTACTTTGCCGTGCCGACGACAAGCACACATCAGCGGCCCAGTTACCCGAACCACTGTTACCATAGCCAGGACTAAGAACTCCCAACCAACACCCACCTCCCCTCTAAAAACACACACACACATGCGAAACCCTTCTCACTAACCACAACCTATTTATATACTTTTTGGCTGCTTTTGCAGCTTGCGGGGCAAGCAATCCAGCCGGGTGTCCAAAATTTATTGCAAGCTTTTTGAATTACAAATTTATTTTAATAATTCGGAATACGAACGGAGACATTTAAGGAAAACACTTTCTCGGAGAAATGGT